CATGGAGTGGCAGGGGCAGTGGCAGTATTTCCCAAGGACCATAGTTCCCTCCTTCAAGGGACCTTGGCTGATCATTTTGGGGTGCTCCCAGGACCCAGGGACCATGGGGGCCCCACCCAACGGGACCTCAACGGCCCTGGCCTTAGCCATGTACGTGAGAGCCTGAGCCTACCCTCCCATTCTCTGGAGCACCTGGTTCCAGCCCATGGAGGAGGTGGGGGAGGCAGCAACAGCAGCAGTGGCCTCCCCTTGGGTCCCTCACACAGAGACACCATCAACCGGAGTGGTATGATTTTGCGGAATCCCCGGCCAGACTTTCGGCCTAGGGAACCTTTTCTCGGCAGAGACCCGTTCCACAGCTTAAAGAGACCCAGGCCGCCTTTTGTTAGGTGCCCTCCGTTCTTTGCACCAAAACGCCCATTCTTCCCTCCCGGGTACTGATGGAAACCAAGGGAAAGGCATTTTGAACAGTCTAGAGAGCATTGGAAGTAGGAGTTGGTTTATTATTGTTTTTGTTTCCCTCCTTTGATTTATTTTTTTTAATGACCAAGGGCCTCCCTTCCAAAGTGAAAAGTCATATGCTTACATTTCACTGTTCCATCCTGTCCTTCCCACTGCACTTACCTACCTTCCCCGAGTTGTTTGTATTTAAAGGGGGGCGGGGCAGGCAAAGAAACACAACCAAAGCCACTTCCTTTGGCTGGGAGTTTGAAGGACGGGAGGAAAAAAAAATCTTATATGATCCCATCTATTGAAGAGTATTATTACATTTGAAATAAAACTTCCACCAGTACAGATGATAATGTGCAATGTTGGGATGTTATTTTGGGTTTGGCTTATTAGTAGTTGATGGAAGGGTTCCTGTCCCCTTTCTTCAGCTAAGTTCACTGCTGGGACCAGCATGGCTCCCTTCCCCGTGTGCTCTGCCCTGCTGACAGCCAGGAGATGTTGCAAGGGAGGAAATGTGGAAGACCTTGGACCTGTCAAGCTGTTCTGTTTTGTTTGTTTTTAAAAGCATGTTGAAGTTGAGTTCTTTACCTTTCTCCTAAAATCTTAATTTAAAAAAAAAAGGGGTGGGGGGCAGCCTCTTCTTCCAAAGGCAGTAACTTTGAGGAGACACAAACCTCGTTCTGGCCTAGTAAAAATTTGTCCTCTCTATTTTTGGAACGAAAGAGAGCAGGCTGAATATATGTTGAGGTTAAAATAAGGAGTAACTACAATATAGAGCGTTAGAGAGAGGAACTGTTAGCAGTGTGTGTGACCTGCCCATCCTTCATGAACGAGAGAATGGAAAACGCTTTTGAGATAGTTCCGCTTGTCTTGCACCAAGCTCTCCCTGCCTGCCTTCTTTGGCTTGCTCTCTCAGTTTTCACTTCTGCTGTGGCCAGAAAGTAAGTCACTACAGTTGACAGTTATTTTAAAGGTGCAGCTGTAATATTATCCCTGTGCTTTTTAATGTAAGAAGTAGACATTTTTACCATGGTGCCTCCCTAACGTAAGTGGTATTTGTTGGTATATTTCAGCAAAGGTTAACTACTAGGGAAAGGGAATTAATTTTCTTTGTCTTTCCTTTCCCCTTGCCCTCCTCCTGTATTCACCCCATTCTTGGTATTTCAAAGAAGGTTCAACAGCATCTTTATGTTATACTTCTTCAGATGTGTTTTAGTAACGAGTGAGTATTACTAGACATTTTTACAGAGAAACTGGAGGACCTGAGAAATCCAGATCTACCCCACTGCAGTAGCAGCCCATCACATATCAAGGCTCAAAGCTTATCCTCACTCCCACTCCCAGTAGGATGTTTCTGCTCTTAGTAATTTCACATGAGAAAGTTCTTTTATTCTCCCTGAAAGGCTTCTTATTTGTGTTTCTACAGCAAGTACTGGGAAAAAGACAATCACCGTACTTTGAGTGTTTAGATCTTTATATCTTAGGGACACTGAAAAGCAAATGTTGCATTACTATTTTTTGTTTAGTGTCTTACCCTAAGGTACACACACAGGTAACCTCCAGCTAGGTGAGTAAAACAATATGTGTTGAGCGTTTTAGAGAATCCTAGTAAGTTTCATATTTTCTTCCAAGTTAATATAGAACTAACTATAAGAAGTATGGGGATTGCTTTGGATTCCTGCAGTGAAATAATGGAAGGTGGGGGAGAGGGCAATGTAGTGGCAGTAGGTGATTCTTAGTCTCAGAATAAACTCGCTTTTCAGATAAAGAGCACCTTAAACCAGGCGTGTCATAGTTTGGGAGTTTTGTGTAATTTATTCCGTGTTATTTATTCGGGCTCACTATGTGTATTGTGGTTAGGGTGCTGCAAGTCATTCATCTCCCTAATGCATTTCTGGTCCTAAGCCAACTAACTGTTTTCTTTCTTTCTTTGACCCTCTCAAGCCTCTCTGCCCTGTGGCTCTCCCCACAAAAATGCATGATACCATTACCTTGTAAGTGGGATGGGGTATATAGTGTAGCAAAGCAAAGAAACAGTATAGTACATTGAGTCCTCAGACATTTGTTTAGGGAAAAGTATAAGTAGGGGGAGGAGTTCTATTTGACTCAACTGAAATAGAATTTTTTTTCCCCCCCAGAAATTAAGTGGGATGTTTTCATTCTAGAATAAAAGAATGTGAATTCTTTCTGCTGCTCTTGTTTAAGCTAAAAGTAGTGTTTACTTGAAAAGGCTCTCTCACCAGTTGGTTTTATAAGAAAATGTGGGGATGTCAGGAAAGTGGCTTCCTGAATGTTGGGGCAGAGTAATTGTCCTCAAAAGTATGACAGCTAATACGTGAAAGGAAAACCTTGTACAGTTTTAAAGATGGACTTTTTAGGGGTGGATTTTTTGTGTGTGGGCTGTTTTTTAAGCCACCGAATCCTCAAAGCGCTTGTTTCAGGATGGAAGTGAGGATTTGTATATGACTGTCAGCTGTTAACTTTAAGGAAATCTGTCCACAGTAAAGGAAGACGACAGTGTACATATGTGATATAGTGAAACAAGACAATTCTGGTATTCATAACATGAAACAAAGGGGTTTTATTCTTTCTGTGTCTGTGATTTAAAACTCCATGCCCATGCTCTGACTTTTGTATTTCACCCCGAGTTTAAAAAAAATAAACAAGATATTTTTTAAAGAAAGCATAACATAGTGTGTCTTGGAAAGGACATGATTCTCATGAAAGCAGAATATGCGAAGTTGTTACCAAGGTCCTTGGTGCTCACTGTAAAATCACAGACAGAGAATTGGTGGGTTGCGGATACACTGGTACCGCCTAAAACTGGTACAGCATCAGAAATGGGTCCTTAAGTATTTTGTAAGTTTACTCTTCAGTGAGTTAGATGAGAGGCCTCCCTGCTTCCTCTGCTCTCCCAGATGTTGAGAGTAGAATTTGGTTTGATTCCAGGGAGGGTAAAATGATCGGAGAGTAGAACTTCTGTTCTTTCCGGTCCCAGGAATACAATGTTTGTGATATATGTGGTACAGCGAACCTATCTAGATAATGTGAATATGCTAAACTTCCTCATTGCAGAATATTCACTATCCTGAAATTACTGGTTGATGCAGAATTAAGCCTCAGCTGTTATTGTTTTGAAGCTGCTGTAAATTACTGCTTTTCCCCCTTTTCCTCCCCTACCCCTTTTTTGAATGGGCGGGGGTGCCTGTTAAGATTAAAATTAGATATGTTGGATTGATATTCTCACGTGTTCAGTGTGGAAAACAAAACAAGTACATGCTTTAGAGGCAACAACAATGAAATCCTTTTGAAATGTGTATCACTTAATAAAATAACTAGTTCTAAAGGTTTGACATTTTTCTTTGAGATTTGGGGCTTTAACCAAGGGCCCCCGGCTTCTCTGGTGAGTGCAAAGAGGAGGAAACCTCCAGGAGCTGAAATTGCTGCTTGGCGGTGCAGGCCTGCGGTTGGAAAACCTAAATTTTCCCCAGCAAAGACTCCACATGACTGTCCAGGGCTAAAGGTGAAACCAGCTACAGAATGCAGAAGGAAAAGCCCGGATGTACCTCTGAAGATCTGATTGGATTGGCGTTCGGTCTGAGAGTGCGTGGGGTAGAGGGGATGGCGGGTGTGCCTGCTCATTTCCGAGGCGCACAAAGATACCACTGGCCACCCATCTCGTCCCTTCCTTGTGACCACTTGCACCTTCCTCTTCCAGCCATTCCTTTCGTTTTTTAAGTCTGTCTCCAATATTATGTTTTTGTTTTCCAGTTCAATAAAGGATGGTTTCCTTTGTTGTGTGGTTGACTCTTCCCCGCTCACATTGATCTTGTCCAGCTGTCCCCTTTGACTTCTGCACTTGGTGTCGCCGGAGGCAATCTAAGCCTCTAAGAAATGCATGGCCTTGTGGGGCTCGTTTGATCCTTTGTGTAATTCAGTTTTGGAAAGGGGTGATGGGTGGGGTGAGATGAAGGATGTTCAGGGAGTGGCGGGCAGTGAAGTGGGCTGTGCTGTATGGGTAATTATTTGTGTATGTCTTCAAAAAATTGTAGAATTATGAGCAAAGAAGCATTTTGAAGCAGGCAGAGTTGAGGGAGGTGACGGACCCTCCTGGCCGTCCCTTTGCCCAGGTCTGCCTTTTGTGCTGCATATTGGCAATCTTCAGAAACCACACAATCCTTTTCTCTTGCCCCATCCTTTTTCATAACCCAGGGAGGCTTAGCAAGTGGAATGTTGGCTTTCAGGGTAGAGAGAGGCACAGCATCCAGATCAGGCCTGGGTCACTGGCAGCATAGAGTCTCTAAATAGCAGCCTTGGTTCCGCAAAGCTACACACGTCACCAAAAATTCAGAAACAGCGGCCTGGGAGCACAGCCAGCAGGTGGGATGTACCGCTGGAACCGGCTCACCTTTTTACCTGTCCCCTCTTGGGACCTTAACTTGCCCACCTGATTTTTGTCTCCACCCCCAAGGAAGCAATAGCTTTTAGACTTTTTCATTGGCCTTTCTGGACACGTTGGAAATGGATTCTTCCCCTTAAATTGTCTGTAAGCCAATCTGGTATAGGAGGGATGAGTTACCCCCTTATGTATGTAGGCATAGTAACACAAACACCCCGAATGGATTTAGGGTGTTGGGGTGTTTTCTCATACTTGTTTATGAGTAACTGTATAGACAAGTCCAGTCAGCTGCTGCTCACAATTGCTGAGTAATAACTCACTGAGGCCGCATAGACAAAGCTGCTAGAAGGACACAAGTGAGATACCGGCTCCTAAGTAAACATCCTGTTCTCCCTTCCCCCATGTAGGGGAGAGAGGCCCGTGCTTCATGGGAAAAGAGCGACCCAAGTGCAATATAAAACCACACATTTCTGACTGACTGCTGGGAGAGGACAGGAGAAATCTTATGTTTCATTACAAGTCTGAGAGGAAGGGGATCAGAAGCCTGAGATCTGTTTAGAAAATGATACTGCAGTTACCTTTGGTTCCTTTATTTTTTCCTTTCCCTTTGTGCTCACTGTAGCAAGAGTCAGAAGTTGAGAATACAGATGTGGGTGGACAGGCCAGTGAGCGGTGCCAACAGAAAACACAAATACAGGCTGCAGCTTTTTGTGTTTGACTCAAAGGGGTGTTGGCCAAACCAGTCCACCCTGGACCTGTTGGGGTTCATAGCAAATTCGATGTTCCAGCAACTTCCTTATTTTTCTTTTTACTTGTTATGTTTCCTGCTTTAAAAAAGAAAAAAAATCGTCACCCGAGGACGTTTATTGATTTGAGAGAGAGAGAGAAACATTGATATGAGAGAGAAACAGATCAGTAGCCTCCCGTACGCACCCTGACGGGGGATTGAACCCACAACCTAGGTATGTGCCCTGACCAGGAATCAAACCCACAACCTTTGGTGCACAGGACGACGCTCCAATCAACCGAGTCACTCGATCAGGGCTCCCCTTATTTTTTGAGAATTACTCAAGTCCTTTGCAGAGTAATTTGTGGAAAAGAGAGGACTTGAAACTTCTTACATTTTTCTTGTGGTATTTCAGTTGGAAGGCAAAGGAAGAAAGGAGATGGGCAGCATCCTGTGCTTCAGTTTCGCCCTCCCTGGTTGGGAACCCTTTGCGCCTACATTTAAGGTCCCGTATCTTCATTGTCAAGAGCAATAGAGATTAGTGAAGGGTTAATTTGAAATCTTGGTTATTGGGTAGTGGGCCTTAGTTGTATATTGCCTTCTATAGGTGTATCTAGGACCTTCTTAGCTCTTTCCTTTGTTTTTCATCATCAAACTTAAGTTGACATCCCTGCACTGGCTCCTGTGTTTGGGAGACTTCCCTATGTTTTCCCCTTAGCCTTGACCAGACAAATCAGGGTCATTTAAAAGCCGAGGGTGGGGTGGGGGTAGAGGTGGCTGTTTCCTTGTTTCTCTTCTACAGACTCGGGAGATGTCTTGGGGAAGGGAAGTCGGGTTTTAGGTGCGCCCAAGGCTTTGTTTTCAAAAAGCAAAGCTCAACTTGTCCCCATGCTCCTAATAGGAAGCTTCCCCCTCTTTATTTACTCAGCAAATCTAGCTGGACTTTTTCTGTGGCATCTTAAAGCAATGTTAAAGTAAAAAGTGTGGCCTCACCCTAGCTCTTTAATACTAAGGGAAAAAACATTTTAATAAACCTTATCTCCCCACACCATCTACTTACCTCTAGCCACTTGGCTAGTTCTGTGAGCCTCAAAAGCAATTTGGTGTTAATGACGTAAACATTTATATATTTTTACCTTCTTAAATTTCTCCTTTTTACCTCCAGTATATTTCCTTTCTCTTTGATGCAGGGAAATTTTGCTTGTAAGAGCTAAGATAGATTTGGAGGTATGTGTTGATCTGATGACAGGTGGAAAATGGACTTTTACCTTCAGTGGAGAGCATTCTTATATAGTTTAAGATTATATATAATTTATATATAGTTTATATGTGTAGTTTAAGATTATAACAATACCCCCAAAATCTTTAGCTAACTTTAGGGTGTCTATTTGAAAAGTGAGGATTTCCCAAAGCTTGATTAAGGGTGTAGGATACCCTTTACTAAAGATTCCCTTTTCCCTAGACTTCTGTGAAATCTGGCATTATTAACATATCTTTTTCCTTATCGTTAGTCTGCTAGATAAAATTTGGTAAGATGCCTCTGTTCTTGGCTTTTTTTTTTTTGGACCTCTCTCTCCAACCTATATTAAGGGCCTTTTTGGCCCCAAAGTCTCCAAGTAGTGAACCTGGAGAGTAAGCAGAGAAGTGCTACCCAACGTGATGCTCTCTAACGGTCCTGGTATGGGGGAGGCAGCAGAGCATGGCCTACAACAGGCTTTGGTTTCAGAGGCCAGGGTTTCTCTGAGGGTCAATTTCCATGTTATAAAGGGAGCATAAGGAGAGCTACTAGTCAGGGTTATTCTAGGAATTAAGATAGTGAAGGCAGCACCTGGTATATAGTAGGTGTTCAGTGATATTCTGGGTGGAAGGTAAGAGCAGCTTTAGGGATGTTTCCCAGGCAGGCTAACCGGTTAAAATTCCGTGAGGCTGAAACATACCAGGCACAATTCAGAAGTTGTAGAAGCCGCCAGAGTTAATGAACTGGCCTTAGCTAGCTTGCTTTTGCTGGCTGGCTTGTTACAAGGAGAGGAATGGGATAACTTGACATTCCTTCCTCCACTGCAACACGAGTTACATAGGCGATGATGAAGCAGTTGATTGATCGGCACCCCCTGACCACACAGCTCAGTGCATTGCACACAGGGAGTAGTCTACATGTTTGAGGGATGAGCGCAGGAAGCTGCCACAACAATACTTATTCCACCATCCCTCTACTATCCGCACAAAAAAGGACAAGGTAGAATGATTAAAGAATGTGTGTCTGTATCTTTGGAGTTTCAAGTCAATACAGTGATAGACACATTCTTAATTCAGTAATAATTCAGCACCTACCATTTTGTTGCCTGCAATGTAACACTTCCGTCCCTTTGGGTGCAGAGCCATGGAAAGAACTCTGCCTGCTGTCATACTTTGTGAATGCCATTTAAAAATTCTCACTGCCTTTTCCCCAACACATACATGTAATATTCCTCTTCCACAGTCTTGTTTGTTTTTGTATTTCAGGGTGTCTAACATGTAAGAAGATGGAGCCAAGATCCAGAGCGGTGCCTATGACTCAGATCAACTGCTGTATTTCCCAGACAGAACCTCTGGCCTCCGGAAACGTAGATTAAACAGCTTTCTCTGACAGCTCTTCCTTCACAACCCTTGATTCCATCACTGCTGGAAACTTGAGAACCAACTTTAACCACCCCCACTCCCAGGTGAGGGCACTAATGGGAATCACTGAGAACCTCACAGCTGGCCCCAAGTCCAGTTCCCTTCCCACTTTACTAAAATCTGACCGTGTTTTTGTTTTTACTGTGTAAAATAAATCAAGTATACCTAGTCCTGTGTCCTAGAAATAGCATGGCGAGGGAAGAGAAAGGATGAAGCTGAGAGCTAGAATGGGAATGAGAGGCAAAGGTCTTGCAGAGGAAGCGGAGAGCCAAGATTCCAGGGTCAGGGCGCTCTTTCTGAAGTGATGGGGGAGTATATTGGGAGTAAACTCTATTACTGGTGTAAGTCTGGTGTGGTAGAAGAGTATAAGACTTGGATTAAATCCAGCATCAGCACTTAACTGTTTGGCTTTAAATCACTTACCTTCATCTTACCTACTCATCTAAGATTTAGAGTCTCCTAGGTCCCTCTTAATAAGCACCATTAGTATGGGCTCCCAAGAAGTGCCCTCAGCAGATTCTCTGCTCCAGCCCTTAAAGCTTATATTTATTCTAATTGTAGCTCTTGATGCCCATTACCATGCACAATGCAGTATGTTAGATGATTTACATAAAATTAACATCAACAATTGGGAGTGATACTATTATTCCCATTTCATAGATGGGAAAACTGAAGCATAGAAGAAATTAAATCATTTACCCAGAATTACATAGTGAATGGCAGGCAGCTCCAGGATTTACACTAGGTCTCTTTGTTTCCAAAATCTATACTCTTAAGTGTTTTTCTACCTTCCAGCAAAGACTGTGTAAACAAACAGAAAACCTTATGGTTAAATAGAAATTACTAACTACCCTTTCTGGGCCGTTTTTCTCCCACTCTCACTCTAGAGTTTTCCTGCTCCTGCCCTCAAAGCCGCAGGACACCTTACTACTACTTTGGGCTGAAACTGCAGGTCTCGGGATTGCCGGTGTCACAGTGTAGGTCTTCCGGTCATCCGGAACCACCCACGTCGCTGCTGTTGCTGTGTGGGGTGTACGTCTTCGCAGTTCCTGGAGGTGGTTCCAGGCTAGAGTGGCAGCTGTAGTAACCAATAGGCATGGGTATTACTGGGCCAGAAGCCAATGAGGAACCTGGTGAAGGAGAAGAGGCGCTCATTTGAGGATGTAGGCACCGGTCTGAACGAACATGGGGCTGTATCAGAGGTGGCGACAGCTCCGGCTCCCAGGGTTACAAGCCTGCGGGCTGCACACGGCGCGTGAGGTACCCCAGAATTCCGAACCAGCCCAAAGCCCAAGGTGTAACCCAGCCTGACCCCTTCCCCCCTGTGCCTGCCCTGGCTCCTCAGATCCGGCTACCCTAGCCTTTTGATGCACTTTTTCCTGGGGTCAACAGCCTGGGGAGCGTAGGACTCCTAACGTAGGGGCCTGTAGCACCCATTCCTCTTAAATACTAGAGATTAGAACCAGGGACACAAAACCCCTCATCTCCCACTATCCCCAGTCCCAAGAATAACTGATGGAACCTGTGTTATCTCCTAACATCTTTCCCTCCAGGCAGCTGTGCCCACCCCTCCACACTGGTTGGTAGAGCGGCTTGGCCTTTTTGAGGAGCTATGGGCTGCTCAGGTCAAGAGGTTGGCAAGCCTGGCACAGAAGGAACGCCGGACTATTAAGATAGCACTTTCCGGAGGCCAGAAAGTGGAGGCTGTGGCATGGAACACAACTCCTTACCAACTAGCCCAGCAGATCAGGTACCAGGCCCATTCATTCCTCTACCTCTACTTCCTCTGGACCTGAGCAGAGAAAGAAAACTGCTTGTTTCTGTTCCAGCCCATCAAGATAGCTTTTCCTAGGGATTCGTTTTTATCTGCGTTGGTTTCAGAGTCCTTCCTCTATTATCCTTGGGGGGAGGAGCAAGGAGAAACAATAGGCTCTATTGCTCTGGTAACACATTTCCCCTTTGCAAGTTTGGAGTTGCTAAGAGATTAGTCCCTCTTTTTCCCTGTGGATTGTAACCCTGTCTTTTTCTTTAACCCCCCCCCCCCCCCC